AACCCGTGTCCCCTGCATCAGCAGGTGGACTCTCAACCACTGCGCCACCAGGGAAGCCCTTTCTTCCTATTTTTTAGTCTCCTTTTTCTCTACTTTCTGGGCAATTTCCTTAAAAGTTTTTCATTTCTGCTATTATATTTTCATTTCCAAGAACTTTTTTTTAGGACATCCTGTACTTTTTTCATTGATACATCTTCTCTCACTGAGGATATCAATGATAGTTTTTAAAATTTTTTTCTGTTCCACAGGCTCTTTTCTCTAAAGGTGCATTTTTTTCTGTTTTTTTTCCACTCTTTCATATCAGAGGTTTTCCTCATATGTCTGGTAGTTTCTTGCTTGTTGCTTATATTTAAGAATAGAGTACTAAAAAGCTGATTGGAGACTCTGTATACATGGCTGAGATTTCTTTACTACAGAGTGATCTGGCCGGGCTGTTTTATTGGGGCGAATCTCTGATGTCAATTTCTCTAGATCTTTACTAGAATGAAAACTCCAGTTGATGACTGATCAATTCCTAGAGCCTAATAACAGTGCCTGGCACACTTGGACAGAGTCTTCAGAAAGGAATCTTCCCATCTCCTGCCTGGGGTGTTAGTGGAAGGGTACAGAGGAGAGGGCTGGGTCTCAGCATTCCCCATGTAAAGGGCTAATTAATCCTCTGAATATCTGTACAACACATCCTTCTTCAACTGTGCCTGTTGTCCCCTCCCCAGCCCAGAGACCCTCTGTTTTACACTCTGCAGATAATAATTCAGGTATCTTTGCCAGGGAAATGGAAGCACAGTCACCTAGCTCCATGGAGTAAGTTTAGCGCTATGGGGAACTAACTGCTTCATAAGTAGATTTTAAATCAATCCTCTTGTTTTTAATCTCACCTCCAGAGATGGCTGTTGTCACCTATTCCTGAGACTTTTGGGGATTCTGAGGTGTAAATTGGGTTCCTTCTTATCCTTTAGTGAGAGCTGAAGATTCAGTTTTTTGGTTCTCCTTATAAAAATTGTGGTGGTATTGTCTCCTCTCTGGTTCTTTTTTTTTTTTTTTTTCCAGGACACCTCTTTATTGTGTTAGAAAAGGTTGGTTACAATAGTTTCTCTAGACATGGAAGGCAACACTGTCCCCAGACCCAGGGGGACCAGAAAATTTATAGCATCAGACGAAAGCCAGGGCAGGAAGCCAGAGCCTACTGAGGACAGAGCTGGACTTAAGACCAGAATACTTTCTTCCCCCTGCTCCTTACCCGAGCCCAGGGTTCTTGCCCCAGCTTCAGCTGCCAAGACATCATCCTTCACCCCAAGATCCTCCTAGCTACCACAATTCAACAAAGGTGCAGTTGGGGAACTTCAGGGTGGGAGTACAGGCTGTGCCCCTAGCCCCGTGGCCTTTGCTCACCCTGAGGTACCCAGTGCCCGTCCCTCAGCCAGCTGTGCCTCCTGGGGAGGGGCCTGGTCATGCAGGTCAGGCAGGGAAAGGGGCTGCTCAGGTCAGCACCAGGCCCCTCTCTGGTTCTTTTTTAAAAGACTTACGCCAATGAACTTACTTACAAAACAGATATACAATCACAGGGACTTCGCTGGCAGTCCAGTGGTTAAGACCACGCTTCCAACGCAGGGGGTACGGATTTGATCCCTGGTCGGGGAACTAAGATTCCATATGCCGTGGGGCGCAGCCAAAAAAAAAAAGGAAATAGAGTCATAGATGTAGAAAACAAACTTACGGATACCAGGGGGGAAAGGAGGGGAGAGGGATAAATTGGGAGATCGGAATTGACATATATACACTACTACATATAAAAGATAACTAATAAGGACCTACTGTACAGCACAGGGAACTCTCTACTCAATACTCTGTAATGACCTATATAGGAAAAGAATCTAAAGAGTGGATAGGGACTTCCCTGGCGGCCCAGTGGTTAAGACTCTGCACTTCCACTGCAGGGGGCTCGAGTTCCATCCCTGGTCAGGGAACTAAGATCCTGCATGCCAAAAAATAAATAAATAAATAGAAAAAAAGAGTGAATAGGGGCTTCCATGGTGCGCAGTTGCTGAAAATCCGCCTGACAATGCAGGGGACACGGGTTCAATCCCTGGTCCAGGAAGATCCCACATGCCGTGGAGCAACTAAGCCTGTGCGCCACAACTACTGAACCTGTGCTGTAGAGCCTGTGAGCCACAACTACTGAGCCTGCGAGCTGCAACTACTGAAGCCCACGCGCCTAGAGCCCGTGCTCCACAATGAGAGAAGCCACCACAATAAGAAACCTGTGCACTGCAACGAAGAGTAGCCCTGGGCTTCCCTGGTGACGCAGTGGTTGAGAGTCCGCCTGCCGATGCAGGGGACACGGGTTCACGCCCTGGTCCGGGAAGATCCCACATGCCGCGGAGCAGCTGGGCCCGTGAGCCATGGCCGCTGAGCCTGCGCGTCCGGAGCCTGTGCTCCACAATGGGAGAGGCCACAACAGTGAGAGGCCAGCGTACCGCCAAAAAAAAAGAAAAAAGGAGTAGCCCCCACTTGCCACAGCTAGAGAAAGCCCTCACGCAGCAACGAAGACCCAACACAGCCAAAAATAAATAAATAATTTTTTTTAAAAAAATGGATATATGTATATTTAAAACTGATTCACTTTGCTGTACAGCAGAAACTAACACGACATTTTAAATCAACTATACTTCAATAAGAATTAAAAAGTAAGTGAATGAATAAAAGACTTGTGCCTTTCTTTAAAAAAAAAAAGGGCTTCCCTGGTGGCACAGTGGTTGAGAGTCCGCCTGCCGATGCAGGGGACACGGGTTCGTGCCCCGGTTTGGGAAGATCCCACGTGCCGCGGAGTGGCTGGGCCCGTGAGCCATAGCCGCCGAGCCTGCGCGTCTGGAGCCTGTGTTCCGCAACAGGAGAGGCCACAACAGTGAGAGGCCCGCATATCGCAAAAAACAACAAAACAAAACAAAAAAAATTTATTTTTGCACAGGTTTAGAGGAAGCCAAATAAGTATTTGTATTCAGTCCACCTTCTTTACCAGGTAGTCCATCGCCTCAAAGGAGATTACTTACAGCTTGAACCAGACTAATTGAGAGATCTTTTTGAATTATTGAAAATTTTTAAATACATTTCTGTTACTTATATGTCCAGTAACAATTAAAGGTCCTTAAAATACCTTGCAATAGGGTATTAATTATTTGTATGTACTTTTCCTTATCAGAAACCTAAAAACTCATTGTTACGAGTTCTATTGATCAACAAATGTTTATTGTACAATGTCATATATATCAATTATATCTCAATGGAACTAGAAAAAAAATATGGTAACATGTATTTATCACATCTTGCTTTAAGTAGATGAAAGTTACACTGTCATCAATTCTGGATGTATAGGATCGAGTCAGTGAGCTTCAACTGACATAGACTTGGCATTATATGGTTTCTTCACTTCTCTTTGGCCACTTTTTCTGTGTAGGTAGAAAATAAGCATATCTGGCAGCATGGCAGCTGTTACAGAAACTGATTGTTATTTTGTACTTGTAGCCCAATCAACACAATACAGTGAAGCTGGGAGCTTTCCAGGCTCAGGAAAAAGAACTGGTGTTTGACATTGACATGACAGACTACGATGATGTGAGGAGATGTTGTAGGTGAGTTCCACGTGTTTTGATGGTAGGTGGGTGGTATCACTGACAATGAGTAATGATGATTTTGCTCCAGTTCTGCAGACATATGTTCTAAGTGCTGGACCCTCATGACAATGGCCATACACATCATTGACCGAGCATTGAAGGGCAAGTATTAACAGTATCTGAGTGGGGTCAAATGCGAGAATCTGTTTTCCTCTGAATATTAACCTGTCTATACCATTTTATAGTCAAGTCTCATAAATTTCTAACATGTTTCTTTGAAACATATGGTAGGGAAAATAAAAGATTAGAATAAAGTTGTAGTTAAAACTTTGATAAAGCTATTGATCAAATCATTTAATTTTTTCCCAGTTCAATCTATTGAGCAACTTTTGCAAGCTAGGTACTGTGCTAGATGAGGGAACTATGAAAGATAACAATTCTTACTTCAGGTAGGTTATGCAGTCTAAGGAGGAAACAAGAAAATTCAGGATTACATATGCATTAATATGCACGGGATGCTGTGGGGGTATAGAACAGCAGGAGTGCATACAGGAATGGGAAGAGATTAGATGAGAAAAGGCTTCCTAGAAGAGGTGATGATGAGGATGATAATGATAATAATAATAGCTAACTCTTACATAGGGGGCTTATGATGTACCAGGCACTGTTCCAAACACTTTAAATTTATTAACTCTCTTAATATCCCTAGACTGGGTCTTTAGAGATCAATGGCAGTTGGTCAGGGAGAGAAATGGAAGTACTGGGGCATGAAGACATTCTTAGCAGAGAGACCAGGATAGGTAAAGAACTGAAGGCAAGAGCATGGGGGCATGGGAAACTATTGGGTTGGCCAAAAAGTTCATTCGGGGTTTTCTGTAAGAGGTTACAAAAGACCCGAACGAACTTTTTGGCCAACCCAATACAAATAATGTACAGTTGACCCTTGAACAACAAGGGTTTGAACAGCGCATGTCCACTTATACAGATTTTTTTCAATAGTAAATTCTACAGTACTCTATGACCTGTAGTTGGTTAAATCTGCAGATGTGGAACCACAAACAGAGGAACTGATGCAGAGGAACTGTTTCTACGGAGGGCCTACTATAAGTTGTACATGGATTTTCGACTGGGGAGCGTTGGCACGCCAATCCCCACTTCGTTCAAGGGTCAACTAATATAGTTAAGATGAGTACATGTGGATAAGAGGTTAAAAAAATGAAGCTAAAGAAGTAAGCAAGAACCAGGAATTCATAGATTTGTTTTAAAACCTATTTTTTCCCCCCTCGTCAGAGGACTTTGGATTTAAACATCGTCTCTGGGTATATTCTGGAAGGAGAGGTGTTCATTGCTGGGTCTGTGATGAATCAGTTAGAAAACTGTCCTCTGCAGTACGTTCTGGGATAGTTGAATATTTGAGCGTTGTAAAGGTAAGGTCTTCTTAATGATATTTACATTTCTTTGTTTGCTAGATATGACCAAGCCTGGTATGTTTTGTAACAAAATTAAACTATCTTTTAAGAATTTGTATTTCAGAGGAGATGATTTTACCAGTAGATCAATTAAAATCATAGTAGCTACATTTTTTAAGATGCTTCATATTTTGCTGTTAAGCATCCTCCTTTGTGGCATAAGGAAGATTAGTTGACTTTTCTGGTTCAAGTATGTCAAGTAAAGTTAACCCAGAAAGTTACATGTATTGAGACTATATAAAATGTCATCCAAGGTTCTATACTTTGACAGAATTTAATCAATATCTTTAGAACACGTTAAAGTTTTAATTATTTCATTTATGTTACATAATATACACGAAGTGTTTTTGTGATGGTTTGTTTTTCAGGGTGGTCAAGATGTTAAAAAGAAAGTTCACCTAAGTGAAAAAATTCATCCTTTTGTCAGGTCTGTTGGAAAAGACTCCATGAAGTTTAAGTTGTGTCTGATTTACCTGCATGTGCTTTTAGAATTACCTGATTAATTTTCTCTGCTGGGGTAGCATTTTACAATAATAATAGCTAGAGTTAATTGAGTGTCTATTTTATACGCTCCAGCATTCATGATAGGTGCCTCACAAATATTCTCATTGGTCTTCACAACAACCTCATTAGATACATGATGGTATCTCCATTTACAGATGAGAGAAGTGAGATTTGGAGAGATTGTATAATTTGCTTGGCTTCACACAAGTAATTATTAAATTCAGGATTCATGTCCTGGTCTGCTTGATTCCACTGAATTCACTACTTCTCCAGGATAATGGAAAGAGGATTTGCATTAGGAGTAAGAATCCCTATTCTGCCAGTTTAATACAACCTTGATAAATTTTAGAGCCCCTGTTTCTTATCAGTATAGGGAGAACAATGTCTGCTCCATCTATCTCACAGAGTTGTGGCAAAGATAAAATGAAACAGTAGAGGGACTTCCCTGGCGGTCCAGTGGTTAAGACTCTGTGCTTCCACTGCAGGGGGCACGGGTAAATAAATAAACAGTAGATGTGAAGTCTATTTTCAAACTGCTAAGCACTATATAAGTGTTGAGATGTTAAAGCACGCAATTCAGAGTAGAAACTATAGACTGTATCCCACATCCTACTACTGATGTATTATTATGCTGTCCTGACTTGGTTGCTTTCCACCCTTGTTACAAACTAATGATGCTATTACCTTCTAAATCGTGGAGTTTAAAAAGTAAACATTTCTTGAATATCTAGTCTAAACCAAGTATTATGCTAGGTTCTTTCCCCTTAGAGTGTCTCATTTAACTCTTATAACCCTGTGAAGAGATGTAATTCCAGTTTTATCTAGTTAAGTTTTAGAAATTCAGTGAAAATAAGTACTAGCCTTCCAAGTGGACAAAAGCCATGTGGCATATGTGTTGCTAATAGTGTTGGGACTTTGTTATTGTTATTCCTACAGAAAATCTATAAACATAATAAAAAAATACTTTGAAGACTATGCCTTGGTTGATCAAGATATTCTTGAGAATAAAGAAAGCTGGGATAAGATTTTAGCCCTTGTTCCTGAAAATATCCTTTCCCAAGACCATTTCTATGTGAGCTACTTGTATTGATCTATGATATTATAAATGTGTTCTGCCTACATATTCTCATATGTTTATAAGTCTAATGTTTTTACACAAAACATCTCCTGTGTTTCTTCGTTTTTTAATCTCTCGTCTGGAATACAATAAGAAGCGAGGCCGTTTTGTAAATAAATTTCCTCATTTTGAAAGTTGATCCTCCTAAAATTAATGACTACTTAAAGGATGTGGGATCATCCTCAAAATATGTACAGACCAGGGACCAGTTTTACCTTAAACTATACAGTTATTTTGGCATTCTTTGTTATATCTAATATAGTTTAACAAGGGAATTTCTCTAAGGATATGTGTTTAATATTTGCATTTTAGAAAACAATAATTACTTTCTATGTGAACTTTAGATATCCTTGTGGTAATACATACTGAAAATAAGTTGTTCGTTGATGTGCCCTAAATGAGTGTGTTCCTTAATGACCCATCACCAATGCATGATGAACTTCAACAAAGCTTCCAAAAGCATCACAATTCACTTCAGCGCTGGGAGCATTTGAAGAAAGCAGCCAGCAGATGTCAGGTATATTCCATTGAAATCTGTATTACAAATACAATAATGCAATTTTTAATTAAATTCTGATTGTTTTGCTTACTAAGTTAAAGATGGTTGAAGATCACTTTTTAACCACTTTAAAGAAATCCTCAAAAATTCCTATTGATCCTCATGCTGGATTTGCATCTACTTTTAGAATAACAGCAAAAATGACAAATGTGGACCCTGGCTTGAGTGGGAGATCATGCTCCAGTACTGTTTTCCACGACTGGATATCAATGTTAGCAAAGGAATCAATCATTTACTGAAGAGCCCTTTTAGTGTTCATCCTAAAACAGGTACTATGTAAAGAAAGTAAGGAAAATAAAAGAAAAATCAAAGTTATTTTTTGTTTTAGAAAGCATATCACTGGGTGTGAATGTCTGAAATAGTAAAGGTTGAAGACTTGTTCTGTCAGCTAATGCCCGCGTTCACTGACTTTTCAACTGTTGATTAGTAGCTGCCTGATGAGTTTCCACTATGTAAATAATTTTTAGTTGGGTTTCTGAGGTTCATTGTTAGAAGTAGAGTTGGAGAGGAACTTAGAAATCACAGAACAATAGCTCTCATTGTACAGATGAGAAAACAGTGGCCCAGGAGGTTCAAGTGACTTGTCCACAGTCTTAAAACAAATTGTGGGGAATACCCTGGTGGTCCAGTGGTGAGGACTTGGCACTTTCACTCATGGGGCCCAGGTTTGATCCCTGGTCAGGGAACTAAGATCCTGCAAGCCTCGCAGTGCAGCCAGCAACTTTGTTCACTTTGTTTTAAAGCAGAAACTAACACACCATTGCACAGAAACTAACACACCACTGCGCCACCAGGGAAGTCCCATAAATAATTTTTTTAAAAAATACTCCCAAATTGCCTTGTTTCCTTTAATAATCTACAGTGACTCTGTAGTGTATACATGTATACAGCCCCTTTTCAGACCTGCCAACACATAGGTGTCTTTTCAATTTCAGCAAATAACTCAAGGTAATGAAATGAACTATTTCCATCTATTCTGTTCCATTTTGAGGACTCTAAATTTGAGACTGTTGTACTTAAATATAGGAGGATATAGGGAAGAGGAAGATAGAAATAAAAGTAGAAATAACAGCAACTAGGTAATAGCTTAACAGTCTTTCACATCTATTTTTTGGTGTTTTGTTAAGAGAAATAAAAGACACACCTAGGGCTTTCCTGGTGGCACAGTGGTTGAGAGTCCGCCTGCCGATGCAGGGGACACGGGTTCGTACCCCGGTCCGGGAAGATCCCACATGCCGCAGAGTGGCTGAGCCCGTGAGCCATGGCCGCTGAGCCTGCGCGTCCAGAGCCTGTGCTCCGCAACGGGAGAGCCCCGAGTACCGCAAAAAAAAAAAAGGACACACCTAATGTGCCTAAATACTGTTCTTAACAGATGAGTCTAACCCTCTTTCTAAGCCTTAGATTAAAATTTTAGCCAAAAATAACTCATAGGAGACAGCTTATAATGATCTGTATTCCAGTCTTCAGTTTATAACTTTTGATTCTCACAGGTCGCATTTCTGTGCCTATTGATTTACAGAAAGTGGATCAGTTTGATCCATTTACTGTTCCAACCATAAGGTATGTTCCAGATTACTGATCACTCATTTTTTGTTTGTGATTGTTGTTCTAAATGTGACGTATGTTGGATTAGATCCCTTCAAGAGAGGCAGCTTCTCTGAGGCTGTATGATGATGTCCTAGCAGAGCAACATTTCCTAGTGAGTTCCATAGAACACAAGTTTTTCAGCTGCTATTATGCAAAAAAAGAGTTCAAATAAGTTTGGGAAATGCTGACTTAAGCAGATTAAAAGTTATTTACTGCAAAATTTCCTGGTCTTTAATATGCTAATGTGCATGGAAAACTCCAAGAAGAGATTATCGTTTTTAGAATATCCCAAATTTAGTTGGCCACACAATTTTTTCACAGAAAATCTTGTGAGATTCATGTGCTTTCATACACTGGGTAATGTTGACCAAGAACCAACTTTAAAATTATCTTATTCTACTATCTGTAGTTCCATTTGCCATGAATTGGATGTTATTTCCACTAAAGAAGAAGAAAAAGAGAACGGAGCTGAATCTGATATCAAACATAGAACCAGAGGTAGGTTAATATATTGAAGTCTCACTTTAACATAATCTTTCTATATAGACATCTTTCTGTGACTCCAGTAATTAACTCGCCTTGGATTCAGACCAGAATAGATCAATGTTTATCTTGAAACCAGCTCAGTAACAAATAATATTATAGCAATGTTTCTGTCCTTCATCAATTGCCCAGATGGTGCTGTTGAATCCAATTTGAGTCAACAAATATTCACAAGTAACATCTGAATGCCAGGATCTATATTGTAAGTTTAAATTGTCAGTTGGTTTTGATAGTTGTTTGAATCTCACAGTCTTTTTTTTTTTTTAATACAGCAGGTTCTTATTAGTTATCCATTTTATACATATTAGTGTATATATGTCAATCCCAATCTCCCAATTCATCCCACGACCACCACCACGCCCCGCCACTTTCCCCCCTTGGTGTCCATACGTTTGTTCTCTAC